AAAGTGGACACACCCGTCGTATTCGACGTATGAAGGACAAGCAGCTCAGGTCTTAGGAACCGACAGGATAAACACCAGTATATATGATTTAATTATAGTTGTGAACCATATTTTATGAACGGCCGAATACAGAAACCTGGTGCACTACGTGCCACAATGTCCCCAAATGACCCTCCGCAAGTTTGGAATTTAGAATTGTCCTTCTCCTAAACTAGTTGTCATCCAAGGCTATAGAACACAGTCTGTTCTGCTATTTACCCGTAGCTGGAGGGAGAAGAATAGGATTAATACCAAAGAGTATTAGTACGTAAGTAAATGTTATGGATCCGACTTGTATTCGAGCCCGGCTCTCCGACTCCTCAATCCGAGCTGCTATCCACTATATATATATATATATATATAGGGAAAGACAAAATTATTCTTACAGTAGAAAATATCGTTTTAAATTGATGGGTTCGTGAAAGTGTATGTAATTTACATAATTATTTTTTCGGTGAAGCCTTGTAGACTATTTATTCAGTAGAGTATTTGTGATAATTCCAGCAAAGAACATCACGTTGTGCTTAGAGTGTCACCATTGTTATTCTTATGTTAGCAACACGACGGGGAAAGACAAAGGAGATTAGCGTTGATTTGAGACAGAGAATTATTAACTCCAACGTCGGGGAAATCGTTACAGCGCTAGAATTATTATCCCTAGATCTACGGCACAGTCCGTTATAAAAAGTTTAAACAGTTTCACGACAGAGAAGGTTTCTGGGCGTGGAAAAAAAAACCTAACTGTCACCGAGAACTACACGAAAACTGTGTTGTGAGGTTAATATGAATCCAAGAGTTGTTTTGACGGACTGCAAAAAGTTTGGACCCGTAGCTGAACAATACAACGTCGTTAAAATAGAAATGGGTTCTATAGAAACCGATCACGACGAACCCTTCTTCACAAAACGTCATATTTTTACTCAGTATAATTTTGCCAAAACGTTCTTGGACAAAAGAAATTGCTTTTTGGAACAAGTACTATGGATTGAGGAAACAAAAAAGAACTTTTTTGACATAATGAAGCACAGAAGATTTGGCGCGAGAAAGGTGAGGCTTTCCATGCAAAGAACACAGCGGCAATATTAAAACATGGAGTCGGCTCAATGATATTTTGGGGTTGTTTTAACTTAAGGGAGAGATTAATTGCAATAAGAGCAGATATGAATGTACGTGAAAGATTTATGGAAGATTGAAGTTTAAATCAGGAAGCTTTATGAACAATCCTCTGCTAAATGATAGGTTCATACCATGCTAAAATGACGGATAAAGGTTCGATTCCTGTCGGAGGACGAATATTTTCTATGAAAATTTCTCGGACATTCATGCTGGCAAATGTTATAAATACTGTTTATTGTAAAGCAGAACATTTACTTAAATATTTGTATCTATAAAAAAATGTATAAACATAAAATGTCTTAAAATAAGAGGCATAATGAAATCTGCAGATTATCAAATTTATGGATGAATATCTACGACTATCAATGCAAAATCTTTATCTAGGTTGGCGATTTACTTTCCAGCAAGATAATGGTTCAAATATACTTCTAAATTAGCGATTCAGAAAAAGATTATATCCCCGCCATGGCCTTCAATGAGTCCTGACTTGAATCCTATTAAAAATCTATGGCAAGAATTCGAATAAATCATCCGTTATCAAAAATCCTTCAGGAATTGGAACGTGTAACAATTGAAGAATGAAAGAAAATCCCATAGAAAATTTGTTCAAATCTCATCAAAACTTTAGAAAATGATTGCAGCAAGTTATAAAGATGAGAAGACATGCTATTGACTATTAATATTGTAGAAATTGTTTATTTTTCTATTTTTCATACTGTACGAATAATTTTGTTTTTTTCTTATTTTACATAATTCTCCTGTCATATTTGATGTATTTAACTATTGTTCTGAAAATTGAGTTTTATATTACTTTTTGTGTTTACTAACATATAAAAAGCCTGATATCATACAGATATTATATTCTGAGAAATGGATAAAAATATTCAAAATTGATGGGTATATGAATAATTTCGTCGTTGACTGTATATCAAAACTTAAACAAAGGAATCCATCTTTGTCAGCATTCCAACTCTGTTCGGTTCATCAGAGTTCTGGCAAGTAGTTTGCCATTCTGCGCATTATCTAACATAAGTTTTAGATAAAAGATTCAACATATGATAATATAGGAGACACCCGTTGAAAATCGGAGTAGAATAAATGTTGAAATAGTTTAATAAAAAGCGAAAAGGTGAGGAAATTGTTTGCAATAAACCAACATAAAATGTTCACGTAGAAACTAACCCACAGTTTCTTTTCCTTAAGAAAGAAAAAACACACAAAAACAAAACAGAAGAAACATTTCTCTGAAGTAAAATTAATTACGATGCCCAAGAAAAATATTGACTAGTTCCAGTTCTAAAGACCCACACTGACCTGTCCGCAACGTTTCTACACTTGTACTTAAATGTTCAACGTCGGTACTACTGTGTCCAGTCACGAAACAGGAGTACAAATAAGCCGCTCATTTTGCACCCTGGACCTTAATCAGATAAAGTACACGAACATTGGCTTTGTCACTCGTGACTTTTTCTTTGCAGACGCAAACGGCTCTCCTCTCAATTCTCGTCTTTCTTAGAAATTTGTCTCAAAAGAGGCAAATTCCAAATAGCCATGTTTGTTCTGTGTAAACATTAACCGTCCATTGTTGTCCCCAGGTTACATTGAATTGTGAGTAAAATAATATATTTTCAACAGAACATTTTGAAATAAAGCACTTCTAAACTTTTTTTTCGGTATGGCACTGTGGAAGTAATTATTTTATCATGGAATTGTGAGGAAGAAAATATATTTAAAACAACATTTTGAAATAAGGCACTTAAACATTTTTAAGAATGGATCTGTAAATGTAAATATTGTATCACAGAATTCAAGTTTAAAACAATATATAATTATTTAGTTTATATATATATATATATATATATATATATATATATATATATATATATATATATATATAGAAAAGTTGCAAATTAAAAAAATAATAATGTTTTATTTTATGAAAGTATTTATTTATTTATATATATATTTGATATTTCAGATTGTCCTCAATCTTTCATCAGAAATAACTGTTTGTTACAAATAAATTAAAATTACTGTTTGTTAGCAAGTAGCGTCCGTCGCGAGACGCGGACGTCACGTGATATGGAACGTCACTGTTCGGATATTCCTAACTTAAATCTAACTGTCATAAATATTTTAGATGTTGTTTAAAAAATGTTTTAACTATATCTAAAAAAATTGCTTAACTATTGAAATATTTATAAAGATTTAAAACACCCAAGTCCCTATTCAACCCTAGTTTATGTGTATTTACTTTTAAAATCCAATATGTACACATAAACACATAAACTAGGGTTGAAATATCAAATATATATATAAATAAATAAATACTTTCATAAAATAAAACATTATTATTTTTTTAATTTGCAACTTTTTCTATATATACATATTAAGAAAGTATACGTGGCTTCTCATTATGCTATATATATATATATATATATATATATATATATATATATATATATATATATATATATATATATATGAACTGCAGATTGCATTCAAGGATAAAAAATACTTCATTGTCAAATTATGTATTTCATATTTACACACGCACTATACCTGATAATGAACACTTTTGCTCATAAATAAATGTAGCATACCATACTAAAGAAATATCGTATACCATAATATATATATACATGTTAAAAATCGCTACACAATTGCGATTGCGTTTCGATGCATGTCAAGGTGATTGTAAATGAATGTCGAGTCAACTATTAATTAAATTTCAAAAGCAAAATACTCCTTTTTTTTTGAGACAAAAATATGGAATTGAAAAGAAAAAAAATTAGAATCGAAAAAGAAAAAACTTAGAAATGGATCACGACAGGAACTTCCTACGCAATGCCTTACCTGGTTATATATATATATATATATATATATATATATATATATATATATATATATATATATATATGTATGTATGTGTGTGTGTGTGTTTGTGTGTGTCTGTGTGTCTGTCTATATATATATATATATATATATATATATATATATATATATATATATATATACGGATAATGTTATAAATTTTACGGTTGGGTACTTTTTTTTTTGCAGAAACATCGGTTGTGAGAGATAAAACTTACTTTTAGGAATAGTTTTAATAAAGTTTGATGATTTAGTAAATCGTTCTTGACGTGTGTGTTTATAGCTGGGAAATTTTATATCAGGATTCCCTGGATTTATTTTCGATGTAAAGAATTATGTTCTTTTTAATTAGCGAGTCTTACATATATATATATATATATATATATATATATATATATATATAGACCAACTTAGAAATAAAAGAAACGTAACGTCGAAAGATATGTCTCAACGTACAAACAAAAAACAATCCAGAAATATTCCAGAAATTATTTTTATTTTTAAACTGAATAATATTTTAATTAAGAGCAAAAACTAGTAAAACACATATTAAATAAATAACACAAAATACAGGAGTCACAAAATGCAAAAAGATGCATATCAATATAGAAAAATACACACTTTGAAAAACAAAAAAAACATTCACAATAAACAAAAAACTTAAAATTTAAAATATGGTTTTTCACTTAAATGTACAAAATGTAAGAAGTCATATATAAGCCAACAACTGAACAACAGGGTTTCACACAAAAAAATATAATCTTTTTTTGTAAAATCAAATGTTAAAGTTTAATATCATGCCGAATTAAATTACAAAAAGGAAAAAAACATAGACAAATTCAAACCTGAACTGAATAGATTAACCCCCCAAAAAAAAAAAAAAAAATATGCACACAGGGTGACCAAATACAATGTTCACAAATAACTTATATTCACGAGGAATATATATTACTGTACACATACATACATTTAATACACAACAGAAATGTGTGTGTGTGTGTGTGTGTCATAATGTATGTGTTTACTGTGGTTCCATGTAGGATATGTGTGTATGTGTGACGAATCCAATCATGTATGTGTATCAAATAAGTTTAGGAATTCTCGTAGTAAGGAAATATACGCACGCATATGTGACAGGAACACGCCAAAATAGAAACAGATCCAAGAGCACATAGAGGTCACTAAAACATTAAAAGATTAAATGCCGATAACTACTAGCTGACAAACCTTAATTGTTTTATGACCTTCACGCAGAATTCATTGACAATTTAGAAAGAAAATTGGATTGCCAACACACAAACAGAATGTCTCATATCGAGAATATTCCACATTGAACATGAAGAAAAATTAATTATTTTAATAATATGTAAAAATCTCCACTTTTGAAGACGGGTGAGACAGACCAGAAACACGTGTCGAAATTATGTAAAACAAAGTATAATAGTTTTTCTGAAATAAATCGACATTACAACAAAAAACGTTTTGCGGCACCCCTCTTTTTTATATACACACTTTTCTCGTTGTTGGAACCACTACAACATATTTCCTTTATATATATATATATAGAAAGAACAGTAAGATATATAATCCGGTGTTATTGTTATTTTTTATTTTTAGTTTTACAAAACAGTGCTCAATGTAAATTTACAGAGCATAAATATTCAAAATTAACTTATTTAAAATATGGTTTTTCGCTACACAGTAATAACCATGTTTCAAAAATGTAATCTAAAATCTTTAAATTTAATTATATAATTAAATTAAAAGCATTAGTTCCGTTTCATCTTCAAGCGAATGTTGAAATAACTTATTCTTAAATTTACTGAGTTTTAAACACACACAAATATAATAGGGAGAGAATCCAGTCATTAGCATTTTAGAACTATTGTTGTCAATTATGAGTTACGTTCTGAAAAAGAGGTTAAGTTTAGGGAGGGTGAAAGAGCACTGTCTGTGAATGACAACACACACACACACACACACACATATATATATATATATATATATATATATATATATATATATTTCTTTTATAAAGAAAAAATATATAGGGAGAGGCAAACGTTTATCAATATAACATTGAACAGATACAAACACACACACACACACACACACACACAAATATATGGGATAGTATAAAGACAAAATATGAAACGTTTATCAATATAACATTTTTCACTATTGTTAATAAGTAATATTACACTAGAAGAAAAAGAAATGAAGAAAGAAATAGAAATTCTGGTATTTTTATTTTTGTTTCTTGATTTTCATTGGTTAAGCGGGATTCATATGCATTTGTCTTGTTAAGCAGCGTTACTATAATTTATGGAATTCTAAACTCAAGGAAAGATAGTCTTTTCAAAGCTCCTAAAAATAACGAATTCCAAGCCTAACTTAAAAAATCGTAAATATTGCATTATATATGTAAGTGTATCATGATTCTAGTTTGTCAATGTGTTAGATGATAATGTATATTCGTAAGTGTGTGTGTGTGTGTGTGTGCATGTGCGTGGTCGTGTGTATTTATAGTGTTGATTATTTATGTTAGGAGGTAAATAATTTTACGTCAACATAAATAAACATAAGTTAGATTCTTTAAGAATGTATTTAAGAAATCATTTAAGAATATCCCTGTCCTTTTCACGTTCTAGAAAAATATTAATTGACAATACAAGTATACTCTAGCATGAAAATAACAAAAACTTCTAATTCCTGAAGCGATCTACATAAAAAATGACATCAACACTAAATAAAATTAAATATGAGTATAGCAACGATGTTTGAAAATATCTATAAAATCAATTGTTATACAATATTCAAATTTAAAAAAAAAAATAATAATTTTTTTAGAAAAAAATTGCAGGTTGAGTATTTTTAAAGCATTCATAATAAATAATTTAAACTAAGTTACCTCCTTTACATAATCATAAAGTAAATAGATTATAACAGACTGTGTGCATGCGCATTTTTAAAAAAATCACAACTTACAATTTCACTAATTTTTGTCTTAGCAAGCAGATGAGATTGAAAGTATGGTGTTTTTCTTACTCACATTTTGTAAAAGCACTAATAAATTGATCGGTGAATATGAGAAGATTGAAATAAAATTGTACAATATGTGGGTTTGTATGCAGGTCACTAGCGGGTCTGAAGTGCCACATGCGACACAAACATAAAAACTGAATGACGTTTTGAATCCTCATACATCGAAATTGACGGGACAGTCTATCATATATATATATATATATATATATATATATATATATATATATATATATACCTATTTGTTCTTGTCTATTCAATTTGCTTTAACTCAATCGGATACAGGTACAACTGTTATTTTAAATTAGCGGGTGTGCCTAAGTGGCAACCCATTCAAATACTTGTGGCATTCGATGCAACCTAATGTGACTTGTGCGTAAGCCTATAATTTAATTCTCATCCTCTTAAGGTTTGGAAATATCATTCATGACAAAGACAAAATAAAATTGTCAAGTTAGAAGGGAAAATAAGAAAACTCAGTCATGAAATCATTGCTTTGAAAATCTGAAGGTGATCTTTGCTAGGGTTCGATCCTTGACCTATGATAAAAACAGTGCTAATTTTTTTGCTATCCTACGGCAATAGATTTTTTTTTTTTCATTCGTTGACATGGATAACATTAATTCTAAAGCAGAATGGAGCTTGATGTTTTTAGATAAACGATAATGCAAAATGCTAACATTTGCAATGCCCAAGGGTAAAAATAAATCAAAAATTGCATACCTTTGCTCTCTTTAGTTGCTTTCTTTTTTTTCTTTATTAATTTCTTCTTTCTTTATTTGTCTTTCCTTATTTTTCTTTCTTTCTTTTTCTTTTCTTTCTTTCTTTTTTCTTTATTTTTCCTTTCTTTTTGATTTTTCTTTATTTTCATTCCTATTTTTCGTTTCTTTCTTTATTTTCATTACTTTTTTCTTTCATTCTTTTTCCTATCTTTCTTCATTTTTCCTTTCTTTCTTATTTATTTATTTATTTTCCCTTTCTTTCTTTCTTTCTTCTTCATTTCTTTCATGTTCCTTTTTTTCTTTATTTTTCCTTTTTTAGTTTTTCCTTTCTTTGTTTTTCCTTTCTTTATTTTTCTTGTCTTTTCTTTCTTTTTCCTTTCTTTCATTAATGTTTCCTTTAATTCTTTCTTTTTCTTTCTTTCTTTTTCTGACTTTATTCTTTCTTTCTTTACTTATTTATTTATTTTTCTTTTCTTTCTTTCTTTATTTGTTTTCCTTTCTTGTTCTTTCTTTATATTTCCTTTCTTTATAATTTTTCTTCGCTTTTTCTGTTCTTTGTTTTTCTTTTTCCTTTCTTTGTTTTTTTCTTTCTTTCTTTCTTCCTATTTTTTCCCCCTTTCTTTCTTTTTCCTTTCTATCTTTTTTCTTTCTTTCTTTTTTTCTTTCTTTCTATCTTTCTTTCTTTCTTTTTTTCTTTCTTCTTCCATTTTTTCTTTTTTCTTTCTTTGTTTTTTCTTTATTTTTTCTTTCTTTCTTTCTTTCTTTTCTTTTTTTCTTTTTTTCTTTCTTTCTTTCTTTCTTTCTTTCTTTCTTTCTATTTTCTTTTTCATTTAATTATTTACTCGTTTTCTTCTCCATTCTCCGTATATTCGTTTTTGCTTCTTTATATGTTTTTCTTCATTCTGTTTAATTTTTTCACGTTTTTCTTTTCTACTCCGCGTTTTCATCTTCCTTCTCTCTTCTGACTTGTTTGTCCTTTTCTTCTCAGAAAATGGCGAACCATTTCTTTTTTGAATTAAATTTTTCTTTCAATTCGTCCGCATTCAGTTTTTCTTTCATTTACTTCTTTTTCCTTCTTTTATACATACATTCCTCTTATTTCCTTTCTTTTTCTCAATTCTCTTTTACTCCGAATAAAAGAAAACATTACCTCATGCTGGAACTAAACCCGTCAACAATCTCAGTAAAAGAAATTAAAAATATTCTTTTCTTTTGCTATCAAAATATAAACGACGCATTATTAATTTGCTGCACCAATATTCAAGTATCGCCTGGGGTTTGTAGAAGATTTTTAAACAAGATCGCACTTTGCTTCGCGGATTCAATATGCCTCGGGGGCCAAAGTCAGATAGGTGAATACAGTCAACCTAAAAAGGAAATGACAGCACAAAGGGTGAATATCTACAAGAGAAATCTCTTTTAGCGAAAAGATGTTTGTATGATCGGTGCGCGACCGATCGACCCTTACAAATTGGACGGTGAAAAACATTTATGAAAAAGGAATAAAAAGTAATTGACACTGGACAGTATTAGGAGATACGGAAGCTGAAGGAATCCGCACATATATACAGCTAGATCATTAAGTTCATAGCCTGAGAAAGTTTATGCAGGTATTCTACCCGAATACCACAAAAATGGTCAGAAACTTTGAAAAAAATAATTTTGAAATATTTCGTTGGTTTTTAAGTAAAATCCTCCAAAAAATGGAAAAAACGAAACAAAAGAAAACAAAAATATCCTACCAAGACAAAATGTCTGATGTCTGTCTGTCTGTCTGTCTCTGTCTGTCTCTGTCTCTCTCTCTGTCTCTCTCTCTATATATATATATATATATATATATATATATATATATATATATATATGTTTGTATATGTATGTATGTATATATATGCATAAAATAATATTTACTTGTCGGGCTTTTTTGTTAGCCTTAAATACAATCGTTGTACAAACAATATTATTATTATTATTATTATTATTATTATTATTATTATTATTATATTTCCTTTGGTTTCTGGTGTATACACATTTCTTTCCGGGTCCCGACCAGAGACCTAAGGTTAGAAATTGCATCATGACATTTACCACTGACCAATTATAAAAAAAATGAAAAAAAAACAAAAAAAAAAAAACAAACAAATATTTGATATAGATAAAACACTTCGTGTAGTCTCTACTCGTGGGAACAATTTTTTGTATTTCTTTAAGACATGGGCTTCCAGGAATCACTTCATTTGGTTTACTGAATTTTTTTCCAACCAATCCTAGGGCTCCAACTACAACAGGGATAGTTGATGTTCCCATGGGCCACATTTTTGAGATTTCTATTTCAAGGTCCTCGTATTTTGACAGCTTTTTGAATATCTTCAAAGATACATTGCAGTCTGAAGGGACTGCCATATCAATAAGGAGCCACCTTTTTGGGCTTGCAGTCTCTAATAACAATGTCTCGGCAGTTAGCTTTGATTTTTCTGTCTTTGTGTGTTGTGTAGTCCCATAAAATTATTATTATTATTATTATTATTATTGTTGTTGTTGTTGATGATGTTAATGCTGCTGCTGTTGGTTTTGCCTGTCTAATGTCTTTCATCAGTCTACTATACCTACAAATTTTAAGAAGCATACATTGACAATATTTCTCTACTCTCATGGCTTTTAGACTCGATGCAACTCAATTCCCCAAAAGTAGGCGGAACACGGAATTAATTAGAAAAATATAGATAAATAATGAGATAAATAGATAAATTAATGCAGACTATTTACAAACACACTGCCTCCACCCTCCCAACCAGAATGAATAATCAATCTGGAGATCATGATCTTAATTTCTACCATTTTCTATAGATCACTCCGCCAGTAACCAAATTATATTATGCATATACAAACCTCTAAAAGAGTAGTACTTGTATTGAATATGGCTTTGAAGCGTAAAATTCACTGTTGATTCCTATGAATCAAAACAGAATAACTGAAAATTTTAAGATCAACGTTTAATAATATGATCACTTCGGCGTCACGTGGGCGATGTTATGAAAACGTATCCCTAAAATAGAGTATATTTTAAATGAAAAAGGAAAAAGAATTTTATTTTAACCTAAAAATTATAAGTACGTTTGTCGGGCATTAATCTTTGTTTTGATTAGTCTTACTCTTATGTCCATCGTCTTTTCATGTTGACTTGAATATCGTCTAATGTTAATTATGTTTTAATAACTATGTCCTGAAGAAGGTCTACTAGACCGAAACGTCTGACGTCGACATTGAAACAACATTAAAACAGCATATTTGCATATTCGATTTTGTTTTTCCATATTTTTCTTCATACTGTCGGATCTATATCCATATATTGCTTTTATATATATATATATATATATATATATATATATATATATATATATGCAGTATACTTTCATTCAAGCATGTTTGGTGAAATAATCTGGTCTTTTTTTCCCTTTTAATTCTTTCGAATTCTCGGATCAACTCGGATGTTGATATTAACTTCATTAAGGAAGGCGCCTTAGTTTTCTTCATTTCTTTTATTTTCCCAAGTACTTTCAATATCATCCAAGATTATCTTTATGGGTGATTTGCCAAGAGAAAATGAAAATTATATCGGTGAAAGGCGAACGGGATTCTGTCAACGGAATTCCGTCAAGCTATCAAAGACAACAATACAGGTTCACTGTAGCCGCATATTTCAAGCAAACGGACCATACTATGAATAAAAGATCATTTCTTTTTAAATGTTTTCATTTAAATGCTAAATAGAAAAAAAATTAAAATCCGACTTAAAATACTTTTTAAAACATAAATTCAATCATTCTAGATTTACATAACGACAATGTTTTGAAGAAAATGGAAAGAAAAAAGGAAACATATACTTAATATTAGGAAGAGACAGCTGAAATTTCTACGGCATATTATAAGGAAAGGAGGCTTGGACAATCTAATACTCACAGATTGAAGTTAAAAGTGGCAGAGGAAAACAACGTATTAGTGAGTTTGAGTGAACAAAAGGCTAAATAACCAAAAAGTAAAATTTGTTAAGAGGGCAGGAAATTGTGGAGAGCCATGATCGCCTATATTCTGAAAGGACACTTACCGTAAGAATGGAGAAGTAAGTTTGCTAATCTCCAAAAGCTCAGCAGACATCTGAATCGTAAAAAAAAACTAATCAATCATGTCGGATATATAAATATGATATCTTGTTACAGAGAAAGGCTCGGTGATTTATGCTAGTCACAGCGAACGAAACGAATTTGCATTTGCGCCTGCGCACGAAGGCAGTGATTATGAGTAATTTAACTGAGATGGTGCAACAGACGAACGATTGGCTTTCACTCTTCTTCTTTTTGCACTTTGAGTAAGTTGATGGCTGAAGGAAGCGGATGAATAGAAAGAGTGTGTACTGAAGCCAATGATGATATTAAGTCAGATAAGTTTTGGGAAGAAAAGAATGGAAGGAGAAGATTATAAACTTGTCTTAAACCAGATACAACGAGAAAAAAAAACGAGAAAACACGAGAACAGGCAAGAATGGAGGAATAATGAAAATTCGATTCAGAGAAAAAGTTTAAAGAAAAAAAAAAGAGAAAATTGTATAACAAGAAGGGATAAGCAAGAAATTGAAGAAGAAAAATTACAAAAAGAAATAAAATAACGAAATAAACGGATTAAAGCAGTACTAAGCAAAGAAAAGGAATAAAAATAGCAACTTCTCCCCAAAAAGATCACAAACAGTGGTTAACTGGTGCAAGTAATGGCTTGTATATTTTAACGCCTCCTAAACAAAACTGTCTTCATTTAATCATCATAGAAAAAACTTTTCTGCCTGCCTTCTGTACGGCTAATGCTAACCTCCAGTTAAGCAACGCTTTGCGCCTTCTTTGGTTCACTGGTATAGAGTGTAGTGATTACATTGAATCCAATTTTAGGGCTACTGCTAGGAAAGTTGGTTCAATGGGTCGTGCTAGACATTTGCTTCTCGTCAGAATCCATCTGGCATATTTATAGATCTACCATCCGTTCGTACGTTGAATATTGCTACCATATCTTGTATGGTGTTCCTACTATATATCTCGAGATTTTTGACAAAATTCAAAGTGTTTGTGATATTACCAGAACTTACGTGGTATCTCTGCTTCAGTCACTTTCCCTCCGAAGTGATGTGGCTTCTCTCTGTCTTTTCTAAAAAAATATTTTCATGGCATTTGTTCTGATGAGGTTTTTTTCCTTCGTGCTTCGACTGCATAGATTCCAGCGTTCTATTAGATTAACCATAACGTCTCCCCGTATCTCCAACCTTTCAATTTCGTTGTTTCCTGCTACTAGCTACGTCAATCTTCCGTCTTCCTGAATCCTGTTCGTTTTTTTTTTCTCTTCGTTGAATTCTTATTCTCTTCCACCCCACCCCTTTGTGACCCTTAGTAGCATTATCTCGTTGCTCTGGGTGAAATGATTAAAATAAACGTCCAATAAAAAGAAGCATTAGAAAAAGAACTTTTTTCGCCTAATTCAAGGTTAGATAATCACTCAAGTTAGATCAAAATCTGAATGTAAGTTGTAGGAAGTAAAGATTATAATGATAAGGACGACAGGTAAAGATTTCCTCTTTAAGTGAAGTGTGTGTGTGTGTGATGCGGCATTCACCCTGGGCGGATTGAGCCGGCTTCTTCCTGTTGTGAGAAGAAGATTCTTGGGATAAATTACAGAAGTAGGGTACCCAGGCCTACTCGGATAACGTTCTTGCTTGCCGCGGGTTCCTACAAACGCAGAGACAGGAACGACCAGAAGCCGCCGGTTACCGATGCAGACGCCCTTGATTTTCACCAGAGCCCTTGTTAGCCGGCGTGTGTCAGACCTGTCCGCCTTGGGTGGCCCTACCAGAAACGAAGTTCCGACGGCATAGCTTTGACATTACCGTTTACACCCCCCCACCGACTGTGAGGTAAGGGTTGGACTTACGGTCAAATCACGCTGAAAACACCGGTTCTCGTTCGATCACCGAAGTTAAGCATCGTAGAGCCAGGTCAGTATTTAGATGGGGGACCGCTTGGGAACATCTGGTACTGTAAGCCCCCAAAGTCCAACACCTCTTTAAGTGATGTGGTTAACATTGATTGCTCAAGGAAACAAAAACATTTGTGTTAGTTCCATAAAGTTGCAGATCTTTGGAATAGACTGTCTGATTGGAAATTCGGATTTAATTTGAAGCCTTGATGTTTAGATACTATAAGGTCGGACCCTGAATAACCGCCAGTAACGATGAACGGATGTTCCCTAGAGAAGGCATCGTGTCTTGAGAGAATATTGGGCCTAAAAAGCTCAGTCCTAACCACAAGTGTAACTTCTACATACGATCTATCACTACAGATGCAGGTAAAACAACCGGTTCCTTGTGCCGCTCCAGTAAGTACCTGACTACTCATTCTATCCTCTACTTTCATAAGAACCAGATCAGGACAAAAATGGACGACTGTTCTCAGATTTGAGCGGAAGCTGCCAAGTCCTCACTTTCTATTCTTTATCAAAAGTTCAAAAGTGTCTACGTGTCCTTGTTGTTAACGAATTCTTTCCCTCCAGTCTTTCTCACACTGGCGGGATGTGGCGTGTCTCTTACTGCTTTATCTCTTATTTTATGGAAAGTGCTCGGGCGAATTACATTTCTTTGTTCCGTCAGGTATAACCTTCATGGCTACGATCCTTCATTCCACTTACATTGTACCAAACCAACCCTCACATCTTCTATATTCCATCAACGAGAAGTAAGTTTCACTCGAAGAGCTTCTTCCTGCGAATCATGGATCCGAAGATGTTTCCCCAATCTGCAATCTTAACCTGTTCAAGTCTAGAGTTATCTTCCCTCTATCCGTGTAAACCCATTTTAAGGCAACCCTCAAACCTTGAGTGGACCTTGTGAATGAATCTTACTGTAAAAAAAGGAGATATATAATTAATATAAACAGCAATAAGAAATATACATATATATATATATATGGCATCTACCATTTTTTAAACATCTTTCGTTAAATATAACGGATATATATATATATATATATATATATATATATATATATATAATATAAATAAATAAATTTTCATTAAAAACGACTGACAAGGTACAGTGGTTAAGTTTTAATTCAATTTTTCTTGTGGTCTTATAATTTTCTTCTTTTCTGGACATAGATTATGTAGAAATTCTTCGGTTATATATATATTAAGACATTTTTATGTTTAACATTCTTTTTATAGATACAAATATCTAAGTAAATGCTCTGTTTATAATAAACAGTATTAAACCACATTTACAGGCCTGAATGTCCGAGAAATTTTCACAGAAAATATTCATCCTCCGACAGGATTCGAACCTGTATCCTATACGGAACCTTCATTTAGCTTGACGTGCCTTTACCGATTTGGCCACAGAGGCGCGTTCGGTTAACAAGGTCGAATTTATTGTATTTAAACTTCAATCTTCCATGAATTTCACGTACATTTTACATTCGCTCATGGCATATCAAATGTAAACAAATGACGTCACATATTATGAAATGGACAAAGTCCGACAATTATTTTAAGATATTTTTATGTTTAACATTCTTTTTATACATACAAATATTTAAGTAAGTGAAAATCTCTCGGGCATTCAGGCCGGTAAATGTTGTTTAATACTGTTTATTATAAAGCAGAACATTTTCGTCACATTCATTAAAACGCACATACGCACACAATTTATATATATATATATATATATATATATATATATATATATATATATATATATATATATTGAAAATGTTTAAATAACTTTTACTAAATTTTACCCGTCCTGGGTATGACGATAAACTACATCCTGTGGGGGGGGGTCACTGGTCGATAAATTTTGAGGACCGTGAAACTACATGTTTATTGCTGATGTTCCCTGTTAGGGTCAGTGCTATGGGAAAATAGTTAATCCTCAAACTGGGGTAGGAAGGACGGTGGATAGCGACTCGGATTGAGGAAACGAAGAACCGAGTTCGAATTCCAGTCTAATCTATTACATTCACTTACCTTCTGATACCCTTGGGAAAGTTATGAATCCTCTTCTACCTCCAGACTGGGTTCTATAGACTTTGATGATAACCGGTCTATCGCAGAATGAAATGGTAACCTACTGCGGAAAAAACTCTGCCTCGTTAGTCATGTATCGAAAGATACATGATTGGCTAGGCGTATATCATGCATGGTACATAACTGACTAACTGAGTTCAAAAGACTATGAAAGTATAAAAAATAGATTTTTATAGTAAAAATACCAAAAATATGCTTTAAAAAAAACAAAAAAAAACATTACCAGCAATACACCTGACACTCGAAAAAAAAACAACTTTATATAAGTACGTCAATGAAACCTTATTTACAAACTGATTTCTTGTAACGATTACATATGCCATTCTTACCAATTTACTCTAAAAATCTGGTCGGCATTTAGTTTGATATGCTGTAAAACAAAACAAACCCCAAAAGATTTCACCCAATAAAAGAAAATAAAGCGCTAATCATAGTAGACGCTTATAGCGTATGAATGGAAAAGATGATAATAGCTGAAGATTAAGATTGTTTACTTTTAGTTCACGAAATACTATGCCCAAGGTTCACTCAAGGTAAAGAGTTAATAAGTGAGATTCTTGTAAGCGAGGGAAAAGGAGGAATTTACAAGTCAATATTATATGGACTTGTTGGATTCATATCTGTTGACACTGGACTTGTATTAAAACCAAGATTGTAATTGTCAGGGAAGCATTCTCTCGGGAGTCCGTTTCACGGAGCAACATTTCTGAGGAAAATGCTGTTTGAGTAGGAAATGCTACTTATGAAAGAACATGAAGGGAATGGTGATTCTTTGTCAGTGGGAACATTCAACGAGGCCACGAAAATCTATTGGGATAAAGTACCTCAAATGGATCAACGCTATTTATATTATCGCTAAAGATTCCAGAAGAATATTGGGTTCCTTTCGCCTCCAAAAAAGTCCTGCTTCCATGCTGTCTTCGAGAGTATGGCAGCATTTATCAGCGCTAGAAAAATAGTGAAAGCACCGTAAATTTAGATCTTCGAATTGAGAAATTCCGGTCCGATTTCATTACATTTATTTACGTGTTTATATCTTTGGGAAAGGTATAAATCCTTATCTTTTTCTACCCCAACCTCACTGGCTGTTGAAGGGCAACTAGTCTAGTGGAAAGAAACTCTTAATTCAAACCGGATCGGAATATCCTAAAAGTGTGTATACATGCGGCTGGGGACCGGTTGTGAACGCACATTCCGACTGAAACTCCAACAATGGATTTGCACGTCCGAATAATTACGACCTCTGCTACGCTTGATCAGCTTTCGCTCGGATGGGTTTGGTTTGGTTTGGTTTACGGAGCTGGCACAACCGGACCGGTGAATGGCGCAACAAGTGCAACTGCAGGTACAAGTAATAGAGTAATGCTGCCATATTTGGGCTCATGCTACCTAGATTTCGAATGTGATTATGCAGCCTTCTGAATGGTAAATCATTTTGCTACCTACAACCCCTTTCTCACTGACGAAACATTACTTGCCTTTCACTACTCTATCGCTAATTATTATGGCAGCTATTCAAACGAGGTAGATTAATCAGTCTCGCCAGTTCAGACGTTTCTAGCTGGGACGGCAATGTACTCGGAGACAAATTATTC